AAGAAGTATTTTTGTGTAAATATATATAGCACTTTAACTTGAGTAGAAATTGCTATAGATATAATTCTTTAATCTTTTACTTATTAGTAGTTTTTATTTTACTAGTAATAAATGTATATACTGTTTTCCCCAAATCCTGTCTCTCTTTTGTCTGCAAATACCTTCTCTCAACTAGTGGTAATTATGTGAGGAGTGAAAAGCAAAATTGACCCAAAGCAAAACCACGACACCCAGTCAGGGCCACTCCCCGGGCAGATGGAGCTCGTTAGCCCTGTAAGGCAATCCATCTATGTCCTGAGGACCTCGCTGCCACTGTCCAAGCTCGCTTGGCCCCGGCAGATGAACCTCAGGATTAAAGGGTGGGCTCAGTTCCACGCACACTGTGTCTCACCTAAAAAATCCAATGCGCAGGCTGGAAGGTGTAAAGACCTTCTCCGGTTCTTCATTCGCAAAGACTGGCCATTACTTACTTACTTACTGTCCATCAGAGTGTCATAAAATCTGTTAATAGACTCAAAGGCTGAGAGACTGTTAACTTATAGGATGTTTGACATAACTCAGTTCCATGGGAAAATTTTTTAATAGCATCATCTAATGTGAAAAATTTTGAGAAATCTGATTATCAATGGTAATAATGAATTCTGTTTATGCATTTATGTTTCCTGTAAGTTAACAGCAGGCCAATTGATTTTGGTTTCTTTTTATCTCTGTATCATGCCTTTTTCCCTCTGGATAGCAGCTCAGAAGCCTCTGAGTTTATGCTTTTGAGTGTGCAAAGAAGCAGTAAAATGTTTTAACTGAAATCAGCATGTTTCTAGTGGCATTTTTGACTTGTGATACCGCTATCTTTCATTTGTTATTAAAGAGACATACCAAAAGTATTTTAAGTCTGACTTAAAGAAGCTTTATTCAGATTTTACAGGCATTCAAAACTGCTGTGGAGAATGCTGTCCAATACAATAGTACCTTGATTTTTTTTCCTTCCTAATAAATAATAATTTAATGCAATTGAAGCACAAACAGTCCAATATTTATTTTATATTGGACTGTTTACCAGACAGAGAAAGAGGCACTTTAATATATTTGTGTATAGAGCTCTGAACTGAGAACTGCATCTGGGCAATCAATTAGAAGTACATACAGCAAGATGTAAAGCAAGAGAGAACTGAACTTCTTTTCTCCAGTACTCTCTTTTTCAGGATTTCACCTCAGAAATGTCTGTCTTAACCTTTACAGATCTAGAAGCATGACATAACTGTGCCTACTGAAGACTTCCAGAGGCTTCAGTAAAATCTTTTTATGGCCACATGTCAGTCCTGAGCCAACCTATGCTATGAAGGCTTCGAAAAGACTGATAGAAGAGATATAGTTGTCACTGTAAGGGGGAAAAAGTTTCTGTTTTATGAATAACATAAGCAATGCTGGAAATAAGGAGTGGGTATAGAAGCATTTTGACAACTTGCGTATGTTAATCTGGAATGTAATTCATCTACAGCTTGCCACAGAGTTTTACATAGCAGTACATTTTTGAGTTTCCAGGTTCCTGTAGGTTGTCACTCTGTGTTGGCAGAATGGCAGCTGTTTAATTCGAACTTTTCCTGCTGATTACTCTGTTTTCATTCATTTTAACTGAATACCTGACTGCGTGACATCTTAATGTAAATGTGTGTCTATATATCCGAAAAGGTATAAATTTTTTATGCTAATTAGGGTTTTAGCAAAGCCTTTTATGAATAGCTGCAGAGTTAAATAACGTCATCAGTTTACACGGGGCTCAGGCAGTAATGCCCATTTCCTTTCTTTCTTCTAGGAGGGGATGACCGCCGGGTCTTACTTTGGCATATGGAAGAAGCCATCCATTCAAGAGTCAAACCAGTTCAGCTGAAAGGGGAGCATCACTCTAATATCTTCTGCCTAGCTTTCAACAGCGGCAATACAAAAGTGTTCTCTGGAGGTAAGGAAGGAAGAGCACCCTGATTTCACAGAACTATGCATTGTGAATGCTTTGGAGTAGAAGCCATGAGTGAGAACCTGCCCTACGTGATATCTGGAAGGTGTTCTTAATCAGCAACTGGAGTTTCTTTGGAAACAGGGAATTCTTTAGTTAGCGGGACATTTTCAATTTTGTCATGCTTCTTTTCCCAGACCCTGGTGTCAGCACATTCTTGTCTTGAACTATCATGAGAATCCTGGGTTCAGTCTGTGCCTACTTGTGCTACAGACTGCGGAATGTTGTCTTTGTTATCCCTTCTTAGCTGCAATGGGAGCAGACCCTGCATTGTCTCTGGCACTCAAGCCTGATGCTTGAAAATCTTTGCTGCTACAATCTGATTTTAATGCACCCTTAAATAGCTCGTGAAGGACTATTGCCATCTATTGGTGGAACACTTTTTTTCAGACCCCATTTTAGTCCTCACTAGGTAAGG